ACGTTTGGAGGGAATTTAATTTAAAAATTTTAAACACAAACTCACATACAATCCATCCTAAACAACAACTATTTTGAACAATTTCTTTTTTTTTATTCTCAGTTTTATATGATTTTAAAAAGCTGGTAAACTTAAAAAAAAAAAATCTTGCCCGACGAATTGAGAGAACGGTTCTACCTTACTATGTTTTTATCATGCAGCGCAACGATGAAGAAATATAAATTTTTAATAGTTGCGAAAATTTAATACTTTTATCTCCAATGGGTCAGAAATAAAAAAGACTGATGCTTTGCATTAATGCGTTTAAGAAGACGGCCGGAGTCACGATTGTCTCTTATGCTGACGATTTCTCGGTAATGGCGTCTGGGAATGGAATTGAGTAACCTTCGACAGTTTGCTCTCCTTCTCGGCGCATACAACCGCAATTGTCAATAAAGTACAAAGCCGCAACAAGATCCTCAAGTTGCTAGCCGGCAACACTTGGGGCAAAGACAAAGAAACGTTTTAGGCAAGGTACAAGGCAATTGGCCCGTCGGTTCTGAACTCTGCAGCGTCTGTGTGGTCGCCAGGGACTAGTAGGATGCAGTGGATGCAGCTACAGACTTGCCAAAAACGGCACTCAGGATAGTGACAGGATGCCTTCTGATGTCGTCGCAACATCACCTGCACGACGAGGCAGTCTCGAGTAAATAGACTCTCGACCTGTGAATGTCGTTCTGGGCACACAACCACCAGACGTGGAAGAGACACAGCATCGTCTACCTCGGAAGACTCGAACCACAATAGCCCAACTTTGCTCTGGCTACTGCAGCAGGTTAAACTCCTACCTGAGCAGAGTAAATGCAGATGTACCAAACGAATGCCCGGCATGCGGAGAGATACCCCATGACTCGCAACATCTCTTTGCATGCCCACTTAACCCCACTCTACTTACGCCTCTGTAGTTATGGATAGACCCCAACGAGGCTGCACGCTTCTTGGATCTGCCGTTAGTAGAGCTTGATGACAACGATTGAGGGACTAACCGATCTGGGCGGGGTTGTTGTAGCCGCTACAACAACAAAAACAACAAAATTGCTTTTCATGATATAGAATTGAAAAGATATCGATAAGAAATTTTATACGCAACATTAAAAAGGGCTGGCGGCTATTTAGATAATTATGTATAAATACTTAGTTCAAAACTTTATTTTGAGTCTTTTTTTGCTAATTGAGGAATTATTTTAGAATCCATTTTGTGTTTTCCAGGAAATAAATTTTACATTTAAACGCGAAGGGAAGGCGTAAGCAGCTTTGATTGTAATAAGTATACGTGAAAAATTCATACAGGCCAATTCTAAACAGAAACTCCATTAGAGTTTTCTTTTTTTTCCTGTTCTCGTATCTTCTTCTTCTCTTCTATATATATACAAATTAAATGTCTTTCATATGACCGCGATGCCTGACCAAACGACTGAACTGATTTCAATTCTATAAAAAGGGCTTTTTTGGATTTTCTGTGTGGAAGGTTTTTCGATAATAAAAAAAATTCAAAACTTTTTTTGTTATTGCCAAAAAATTAAGAAAGCTGAGACGTCACAATTTCACAACTTCATATTTTCCGTATATTGAATGCCACTAAACTACCAAACCGCTTGACCGATTTCGTTCGTATTTGGAACATATGTTAGCACCTTAAAGGGAAATATTTCTGGTATTCTGGGAAATATCACTGGTGTCTGGATTTTTCTAAAAACTACATTTATTTGGCTCATATTTGGAACATTTATTAGCCAATGGAAAAGGAATATTTGGACTAAAAAATTGCACGTTAGGAGGCCTTGGGGTCGGCATATTCCTAATATTCTTATACAGTGGGAGAATAATGGATATCTACACATATACATACGTCACAATAAAATGTTGAAGCTCCTATTTTGAGGGCACCAATGTATCTCTTAAACCAACTACGCTCGGATGCATAAATTGTAAATACCCTACTTATGGCGAAAACTGGGAGCTATTGGAAAAGGGGGCGTGGCACCTCCCATACAAACTGAACATATATCGCTTATCTCTGGAACCGCCTTATGCTAACGCCCTGAAATTTAACATGGCTACATATGTTATCAAAATACCGAACTTATGGCGAAAATTGACAGGTATAGGAAAAGGGGGCGAACCGCTTCTGCTTAAGTCCTGAAATTTGGCACAGCTACAAAGTGGCAGATATTGGAAAAGGGGGCGTGGCACCTCCCATACAAAGTTAATTTCTCATATCGCCTATCTCTGAAACCGCCTTATGCTAACGCCCTAAATTTGAAACAGCCACAAAGTGGCGAATTGACCACATCCGTCCAAGTAGGAACAGGGTTGGCATATGTTGTTGTTGTTGTAGCGGCACTACTAAGCCCCGCCTTTTTCGGGTCTACGTTCAATAATTTTCGTGAAGCTCAACTAACGGGAGGCCCAGGAAACGAGCTGTTTCAATGACCAGAGGGAGAGGGGTGTTAGCTGAGTCGGATTGAGCTCGCTTGTAAAGAGGTGGTTGGTGTCGTGGGGGGACTCTCCACATGCCGGGCACTCATTGGGAATATTGGGGTCGAGTCTCGACAGGTAGCTGTTGAGGCGTAATTGAGCCAAGTAACGCGGGTCTCTCTTGGCAGTTGAAGCTCCGTCTCTTCTACAGGCGGTGATTGGGCTCCTATTACGGCATTCATAGGTCGAGAGTCGAGGTAGGTGGTAACTGACTCTCTGTGAATGTCGTTGATGGCTCGTCTGTATGTCGTCGGGTCCAATGGTTGGTCTACGTACTGTTGGACTACGTCCTTGTACACGAATAGGTGCCCCCTGACGTGCCTGGGCGGAGGCTCCTCCTGAAGCAACGGTCTGTTAGGGTGTTCACTTCTGTGACATCCCACCAGAAATTGCTTACAGAGCATTTTGTTGTGTTTCCTTACGGGGAGCACTTGGGCCTCGCTGTGCAGGTGGTGCTCAGGCGTCATCAGAAGGCACACAGTCGCTGTCCGGAGTGCGGCGTTCTGACAAGTCTGTAGCTTCGTCCACTGCGTCCAACTAGTCCCCGGCGTCCAAACTGGCGCAGCATAGTTTAGAACCGGCCGGCCAATTGCCTTGTATGTTGCCAGCAACGTTTCTTTGTCTTTGCCCCAAGTGCTGCCGGCGAGCGACTTGAGGACCTTGTTGCGGCTCTGTACTTT